TTTGTTTGGAACTATTTTCGTTGGCAAAATTGAGCAAAAACAAGCAATATTATGTCTAAAATGTAAGTCACTTATTGCTTTACTGAACTTGTATAAAATTATTATTAAATGTGTTCATGCTGATATCTGCAGAAAAACGGAAGAATAACGGAAGAATATATAAGAATATATATATATATATATATATATATAAATAATATAACTGTTGTGAAATAGATGCCATTCGAACATTGCACATCAGTTAAATTACAGTTTAAGTGCAGTTACATCAAGTTCTGCATCATGGCTGAAAAACATGAAATAAACAAATAAAACAAACAAAAATCTAATCAAATTAAAAAAAAAAAAATCAATGAACAAAGCTGTCTATGGTGTAATATATTGTGTAATATAGTTACCAACTTGCTAACAAAGTTTTTTTTTTTAATGAGTCCTACATAGGCCATCATGCCACCCAGCCAAGACTCTCTGCTTGCATTGTATAGAAAAACAAATAAACAAACAAAAAACAAAATCAAAACATTTTGTACCTTCTCCTAAACATCTCCCGTGGTTTTTCACAAAAAAGGTGTATACGTGATTTTTGTTTTTGTGTGAACTGTCCAGTGAGCGGTGCCTATGGAGGGACAGTTTAGCACAGTGTTCAGGTAGAAGGAATGAAGGACGTGTTGTGAAAGGGGGAGCAGATGAGTTTGCCGTGGGTGAGCCTTTTAGAAGAGATAAAGCAGAGATCATTCAAACAATCAGCCCGTGCCCCGATGCAATCATCTCATCTCATCTGCTTTCAAGAGCTATTGGGCTTTTTATTGAGCTGTTGTGAGGCAGTCTGATAGCACTTTAACCCTCTGATAGGGTTAATATTAAACCCTAGCCTTTACTTCGCCGGTGGCACTTAGTCTTACAAGAGCTGAGCTGAAATAGTTTCGTATAGATGAATGGACCAAAAAATACCTTTAGATGCTGAGCTGCTCTCATCAGCAACGAGAGACCAACTTCCACCAAGTCCCACAAGTTAATGATTTCAAGGCTTGACCTGTTGTTTCATTTTATCTAGTCATTTACTGTCAGACTGGATGACGGCATTATTTGTGCGGTCACAGCTGAGTCAGTTTTTATGGCACAATTTTCTGTTTATATTTAGCTTTTCAAGCTTTTTGATGTCACCGACCCCCAAATACAATAATCCTATAGCAAAGGACTTGCTTAAAGCAGCTATATATAATTTCCTGTATAAAGACCCTTTTATAGAGTGAAAAATAAATGTTTTAAATAGTATCCCCAAAAACTTACCTTCTGTTAAGTTCAACAGAATAAAATAACTGATTGAATCTCATGATTTTTGACCTTTCCTGGCCTTTCCTTTCCTGATTTATTTTTATTTATTATTATATTTCATATTAATTATTTTTTATTTTATTTTAATGTATTTGTTTTACTATTTTACTTTATAAATAAATTGATTTTGCTCTATTTTCTAATTGAAAAATGCAGCAATAAGCCACTCGAGTCTGTGCATTACACCATGTCCTGACACCTAACATACGTTTCCAGCAGCAAGCAATTTATTACCATACTGCTGCATGACATGACACATTCACAACCAATGAAAATAAACATGTTTAATATTGTTAGGGGAATATGTGCAACAGAAAGGTTTTATTGTTTATTACTTGTTGCTTTTATGTCATACTTGTTTTAGGTGTTACGTACAGTGAGTTTACCACGAGTTGGGGTGTATTTGTGCATAACGCAAGTTTAAGGTGGCTCTGATGCGGCATCATTTACACAGAAGTACAGAAGCATCAGAAGCATCTTAAACTTTACCATTGTTTAATAATCTTAATAGAAGCAGCATTACACAGACTGTGTAAATGCATCTTTTCATTGTTTCAGATGCAGCTTCTGTTCAAATTTTGCACTGTAAAGACAAGTTTTTGAAAATATAAGTTGCACATTATTAATAGATAGTCCCACCAGATTTTCAGTGACCGTTTATTTATTTTATTTATTTGTTTGTTTATTGTTTGTACTGAATAATGCGGTCCAAATTTACTGATTTTTCAGTAGCTTCTCAAAAATGTCTATAGTATTTGCACATTTTTTCCTATTGTTTTTGCAGTTCAGATCCACCAATAATCATTAGGTAAATTAATGTTAGTGACAATAGGAATAATTTTCTAAAAAAACTGAATATGTAGAAAGACAACAATGCTGCAGTATGCTGTATATTTATTTTTTATACTGTATCACTGTGTATTTTATCTTATATAACTATTACTTTTGTTACTATTATTACTACATTTTTGTCCTGTTGCTATTTTGTTTATGGAAACTATAGGACAGCTTAAAGGGATGAGAGATGAATCCGCCAAGCCCACATACGGCTGCCAGGTGACCATCCAGTCCGAGCAGGAGAAGCACATGATGAAGATTTACAGAAAAGAAGAGAAGAAGGAGAGGAAACGTGAGAAACGAGGAGATGAAGGGGATACCTGTGAAAACGCCTTTCATTTTGACCCCAAGGAGCTGAGACTGCAGAGGTTAGCACCTGTCTCTCTGTCTGTCTCTCAGTTCATTTCAGTTCAATTCAAATAGCTTTACTGGCATGACAAAAATACAATACACACACACACAGATACGTATCTCTGTCTCTGTCTCTTTCTGTCTGTATCTCTGTCTCTGTCTGTCTGTCTGTCTGTCTCTCTCTCCATCTGTCTGTCTGTCTGTCTTTCTCCTTCATTATGTGAACAAGCACCTCTCTACATTTTAGAGTGTGGCCTATTGAAAAGAGGAAGAGAGAGAAAGCTTGATAAAACTGCTATCTGGAGCTCCTGCAGAAGGGATTTTCTCTTAATGTTTAATTTCACAGGATGAAAAAGAGCAATGATCTGTTTAATTAAAAATGCTGCCGTCCAAATGAGGCAGAGCATGAGGAGAGAGATTAGAGATGAGGTGTTAATACCTCACATGTCTCCTCACGCTCTCAGCCTTTCAATCATCCCGCTGCAAGACAACAGCCAAACAAAAATAACTCTGAAAACCCCTGCTTTATATGGGATTCATGAGGAACCCTCGTCGGCCGTACCTGAATCTTCTAAATGTGCCACACAGATGTCTCTTTTGTAAGATTTGAAGCATTTTATTTGGAGTAATAAATCTTTGGATGTAAATTAATTTTGTTGTTACGTTAGTAACTATGAATATATTTGATGATAGTATGCCTTCAGAAAGATAACAGTTTCGTGTGCTCAAGATTTTTGATATTACAAAGTGTTTTCTAGAAAGAGAATTCACTGTTGATATTTCCACAAATATCCACTCTGGAATTATCATTTTATTTGGAAACAAAATCATGTTAACAGATTTGACAATTTAAAATAGTTTCCTACTAACAAAAACACAAAAAGGAAAAAGGAGACATTTACTTGACCCCAAAGAGTTTACTTCCTAAAGTGGACGATGGTTTCATTGTTAACCCTTAAATGCATGAATGTTTTGCCAATCATTATTACATATTCGGGTCTTTAGCGACCCGGACCAATATATCCAGCACGGATGGATCTCTAACTGCTGCAATAGCAAAAAACTCTCTTGATATACTAAGAACAATTACAGAAGAATAAAATAAAGCATTCAATATTTTGATTACTGGCAGCTTATTCACCACATCCAGCATCAAATGACAGTGATATTTATATTTCATTGTGTATAGTAATTGCTCTGCAGTAAAGCCATTCAAATCCGTTAAATTTTTGCTGATGATATTCGTTTGTTTTATGGAGTGCGTGACGTCAACCTCCGGAGCTCTATATACCAAGTTGTCATGAAACTCTAGATGGCGTAACGTAAACTAATGATATTCTCAGCATTAAACGACTTGTCTCAAGCTGATTGGTTTATTTTGCAATCGCAGCCAATGAGCTTGCTGCTTTACATTTAAATGGCTGGTTAGCATTCGCTTGAGCATTGCAGCGCGCTTTCAGTGTTCCTCTGAAACTCAACAGCCAGACAAGTGAACAGTCTTTTCTTCTCATTTCAGTGCATTATTGTGTTCATCAGCTATAAATTTCTAAACTTGCAAACATTTAAGTTACTAATATACAAAAAAGGTTAATGCGTAACAAAAAAGAGGGGTTAATGTAAATGTGGAATGGACCTTTTTCACATTTCCGGGTTTCTCAGCAGCGGATGTCGTCATAGTTGGGTAAACCTGAAGAGCAGTGAGAGCACCACAAATATATTTTTTTGCATTCCCAGTTGCTTAAATGGCAAAAGAGAAACTCCATGACTTTCAATAAAAGGAAAAAAATTGAGAGAGACTGATAACGGCAGTCAGAAGAGAGAACGATGTCAAATCTGTACCATCCCTCCCATAAACGCTGCATTAGAAACACCCTCGCATTAGCGTCAACTGTTTTTTTTGTAATTTGATGCAAAGGTGATATAATACAAAGAATAGTGTTATAAATGTAGATAAAAAAAAAAATACAAACATGAAAAACTTTCGAGGATTTACGATGCTGATGACCGTTAAACGCGTCATCACAGTCTTGTGAATAGGGTCCATATAATTTACCCGCATATACGTGTACTCGTGGCGCACATGCGATGCAGACAGTTCAGAAGGGAGCACTCACTCTTAAAGGGGCCACATCTCTTTTTCCCTCGTTACATTTAGTTCAGTGATAGTGAAGAGTTTATTATAAAAAGTTATGTTTAGTAATAGTTAAAGATAATTAATCATGATTTAGTTTAATATATAAAGATACTAAAAATTAATAAAAGTAAATAATAAAATAAATAAATCAGTTCAAATTCAGTAGCCCATGTGCAATGTAGCCTAATAATAGGACACTCCTTAAACTTGAAATTGACTTATTTGTTTATTCAGCTGGGCTTATATTCTAGTACTCATGCAGTGTAGCAGCAGTATCCATAGAAATTCAGATTGCGTTATTAGCAAATTATTAATTGCAGCATGCATAGCAAATCAAATTTTGTTTGCAAATAATTTTAGTAGGTAGACTTTAGTTGCTGAAATTTCAGTGACTAAGCATGGATATTACGTAAACTCTTCAAACCAAAATAGGCATGATTTGATTGCTTTTTGTTTATTTATAAAGGTGCTTATAGCAATTCTAAGTACATTTGTGCAGCTGTAGCAGCAGTATGCATAGCTATTCAGATAGTGTATAGCGAAATGTAATAGCAGCAGGATGCATAGAAAATTCAGATGCAATGTTAGAAATAATATTATCAGCAGAATGCATAGCTAGTCAAATTATAATTGTTGCTAATAAAGCAGCGGCAGCATAAAGTACTTTAGTTGCAAGTAATTTCAGTGATAGCACATGGATGGTAAGTAACTCTTAAAGTGAAATAGGCATACTGTTTCTTTTGCTTATCTAACGCCTTACAGCAGATTTGTGAACTCTTCAAAGCAAAATAAGCATTATTTGATCACGTTGCTTATTTAATAAAGGGGCTTATAGCAACTCTAAGTACATTTGTGCAGCTGTAGCAGCAGTATGCATAGCATTTCTATACACTAATGTTGCAAATATTAATTTGGTCACAATTAATATAAACAGCAGAAGTATGTACAGTCAAATCAGACGGCAATGTAGCGGATAATATTGCGATCAAACAAAAATCAAACAAAAAACCTTACTGGTGTGCATCTTGAGGCAAAACAATAGCACAGATATATTTTATATATTTTATATATATTTATATATAGTCTGAGACTAGGCTTAGTGTGAAAAAATAAAATAATAAAAAAAAAACGCGCAGAGGACATAATTTCCTCATTTCAGAACACTGCATATAAAGACAATACTAGCTTTATGACTATTTGCTAAAACAACAAGAATAAATTGGAGAAAGAGCAATTGCCAAAAAAGGCCTATATATATATATATATATATATATGTATATGAGTATGTTAATTCAGCAGTGGAGGTCACTTTGATTGGCTGTTCTACTTAGCCAACCATAGCACCAAATGAAAAAAGGAAGTGATGAAAGCAAGTAAACAACTCAACAAGTCGAGACCGTAAACAGAAGGCTCTTCTGGCTTTTGCCGTTTTCCTTTTACAGTGACAAATGCTGACTACTGCCACCTACTGGTATAGAGAGAATTTCCCCTCACATAGGCACAGAACATACTTGCTATTTGGCCATTGGCTGTAGTCTTTGCACTGTGTTCAAGTGCAGCTTTTCGGTGGTCACACTAGATATTAATCATGCTAAATTATTATAATATGGGCAAAATTATAAGACTAAATAATACATGCAAATGATTCAACTAAAATGAACTTGCATTTTAAACCTTTAAAATGGCAAAAAAAAAAAGGCTTTCCTCTAATTTTGGTTTTGAGCCAAGTTGAATGTCTCGATTGATCAAGTCTTTCCACTATTTCAGATTTAGTGGACATGAACACTGAAACATAATAAAAGACTAGCATTCTTTCTTTTTATTTATCTATTTTATTTGAGGTTTGCCATTTCTGCATCTCTGTTACAAACATCTAAATACAATGTAAAACGAATTATTTTTAATTAGTTAATTATTATCTATCAATAAATGCTAAATAAACATAGAATAATTCCAGTGTAAATTGTCTGATTTACTTCTTTACATTTAAAGCTTAAATTATATTTTTATATTTACATAGTAAAATATACTGTATTATAATTGTTATTGTAATAAAATACTGTATCTGCCCATTTATTCTAGCTAAGAACCACCTACTTACACAGGTAGAAACCAATTTTACATTAAACTGAATGGGTTAATCTGAAATCCATGATAGTGCAGTCAGCAGACCGATATAAACCTGGCCAGCCTTAAAAGCAAACCAGTCACATTGAAGCTTACAGTTTTGAGAACACTTTCACAATTTTGTCTCCAGTATGTGTACAGTGTCCCATGGGCACTTTAGGTTTAACATGCCTACAAAAGTGTGTTTTGTAGGGGTTTAGTATGATTTGTAACAGACCTTTCAAGAACAGATGAATATTTTAAACGGCTCAGAACTTGTTATTAGTCATTTTATCAGATGCATCTGCTGTCATATTTTCCTCAGTGTTAGCTGAGACAAAACGGTGCTCTGCATTTGATTTGATGGAAGTCTGTTGATGTGACACTCTGTGTTTGCATTTAGGGAGCAGGCCTTGCTGACGGCACGCCGTTCTCCAGTGTTAGGACGTCACAGAGAGTACGAACGCATCCGTTACCCTCACGTTTATGATTCTTACACCGAAGCCATCAAGACCTCAGCATTCGTCGGAGGAGCCAAGGTAAAATCTCACCCGCTGCTCACACACACGCCACTAATCTGACTCTTATATGTGTAAGGACACAGAGGAAAAATAAATCTCCGCTCTTAAATACAAAATCTCTCCCTAGTGCTTTGTTTACTCAGCATCATGCCAATCTGCTCAATTATATCACATTATCACACACTAGATTACCTAGAGCCTTTGTTTTTAATCCAGTTTTTATGATGTCTTAATTAAAATTCCTGCTGCAGGCCATCTTCCAGCGATTGAAATGAATGAGCCTCATCTTTTTCCTGCGGGTGGGGTGGAACAGGTGGTTTAGAGCCAGGACGATCTAGAGCTTTTTATCACAAAAATGTATAAGCAGCACAACTGTTTTCAACATTAATAATATGAATAATTATAAGACATTTTCTAGAGCTCGTGTGACACTGAAGACTGGAGTAATTATGCTGAAAATTCAGTGTTACATTACAGGAATAAATTAAATTTTAAAAAACATTAAAGCAGAAAACCGTTATTTTAAATGGTATAATTGTATATTTAAATTGTAAAATTCAATAGTATAATAAATTGTATAATAAGAATTTAAATTGTAAATAATTTTATACATTTAATTAGCTGTTTTTACTGTATATATCAATAATAATAATTGAGCACTATTTGAATACTCGCAATGACAAAACAGTTTTTGCTCTGAACAATATGTGACAAAGATGAGTAGCATTGCCAGATATGATGACGTGTGGTGTTGTCAACTGTGATCAACAGCTGAGTATGACACATTCATTAGTTCGGCATATGCTCTCAGTTTGGTGAAAATGAGTTGTAATTATAGGAGCTGGAGGAAATGCAGCGTGCTAAAATTAGATATTTATTCTCCTATTTCTATAAATTATTTTCATTACAGAATGTACAGCAACTGCAGCTCAACCCACTGCATTCCACTACTCAAAGCAAATATACAAAGATGTGCTGCTTGCATTATGACTGCTATTTTACAGCTAAAGCACATTTTGGAAGATTTTCAGTTCATCTCTGCTGTAATAAAGCACACTGCTGGCCGCAGCCCTCAACATTGGTCTTCACTGTTTGGTTGGAGACGTTGCCGTGAGCTAATGCATGGCGAAGGTTTAATTGTATGTGTTTTTGTGTAATTATGTCCTCTCTGCTGTGCCGGCAGATGCTGCTGCCCGAGGGCATCAGAAGAGAGAATAATAAGATGTATGAGGAGGTTGAGATCCCCCCCAATGAGCCTATGCCCATTGGCTTTGAGGAGAAACCTGTGTACATCTCAGAGCTGGACGAGGTCAGTGGTGGCTATTTACAGCTGTTGACATTTATCAATGCTTGTGTTCACACTCAATGAGCTTTTCTCGACTAATCACACTAATTTCTCTTGTTTATATTGACTGATGGCATTATGCCTAAAATCTCCTCCATATGATGTTGGATGCGGCATATAATGGTTTTGCAGCAGTGGTTTATGTTTGTGTTTTGTTCTGTAAAGTGGAGGGCTGTCTTAATTTGTCTTAAGCCAGCTGGCTACATGCAGCTCAAAACGATTTGCACTGATGGAAGATATACGAGTTAAAATGATAAACTGGTACAAATATCACAAGATGGGTACACTGTGGTCATAAAGGGATGGACACGGTCAGCAACAATACTCAGGTAGGCTGTGGGGTTTAAACAAAGCTCAGTTGGTACTAAGGGGCTCAAACTGTGCCAAGAAAATATCCCCCACATACACAGACAAAACCAACTTAAACCCTGCGGCTCGTGATGACACATTGGTGTCCTAAGACACGAAACGATCGGTTTGTGCGAGAAACCGAACAGTATTTATATAATTTTTTTACCTCTAATACACCATTATGTCCAACTGCTATGAGCGTGCGCACGGCATCCGGTGCGTGAGGTGTGTACGCGCTCTGGCGTAGGTTACGCAAGCGCCGGACGTGATCTCTCGCGCGTATACGTCACTCATTGTTTACACAGTGCACAGTCATTGCAGACATGTTCCCTGCCACTGTGAAGATCTAAAGATATTTAGACGTACAGGTCATCACAATGGAAGACGATTTTAATATATCAACAGACCACGTGGATTTTTTTGCCCAACCGTATTTATTTGAACCAGAATACTCAGATCAAGAACTCAGAGAGATGGAGGAAGCATCTGCTGCAGCAGCACGTCTTCAAGCCTCAGAGAGACAGAGATCTCTTCAAAAGTGGTGGTGTTCTTGTAGTAAGTGTTGTGAGATGCCAACAGAAGTGGAGAGCATCTGTTGTCACGAATGGAACATAGCAATGCCACAACTACAAGACGCCAACGAGGACATTGCCGAGGGTGTCCCATCACACACCTGCCTGACTGAAGATCCAGACTATCATTGCAAAAAATGTGTTTATGTATATATATTCTGTTTATGTAGGCTATATACTGTATTCTATATACAGTACCAGTAAAAAGTTTGGACACACGAATGGGAAGTGTGTCCAAACTTTTGACTATACTGTACTATAATATAGCCTACACATAAAGAATATCGGTCGATATATTGGTATCGGTCTTTTATTACTCCCTAATATCGGTATCCGCATCGGCCCCCAAAAAACCCATATCGGTCGGGCTCTAGTCTGAACCGTTGATACAAGGCAGGTGGATCCATGCTTTCATGTTGTTTACGTCAAATTCTGACCCTACCATCCGAATCTTGCAGCAGAACCTTTTTCCAATCTTCTGTTGTCCAATTTTTGTATATTAGTATATTAAGGCCCAATCCCATTTCTACTCCTTAGCCCTTCCCCTTTCCCCTGAAGGGGTAGGGGTGTCTCGATTCACTTTTGGTTGGAGGGGTAGGGGTAGGGGAAGGGCCAGACAGCCCTTCAAACGAAGATTTTTCAGGACCACACTTCAAACGAAGGGGTATGAATTATCCAGCAGCACGTCTTCAAGCCTCAGAGAGACAGAGATCTCTTCAAAAGTGGTGGTGTTCTTGTAGTAAGTGTTGTGAGATGCCAACAGAAGTGGAGAGCATCTGTTGTCACGAATCGAACATAGCAATGCCACAACTACAAGACGCCGACGAGGACATTGCCGAGGGTGTCCCATCACACACCTGCCTGACTGAAGATCCAGACTTTTCTCCGCTGTTGAGCTGCAGCGTTTTGCACGTTGTGTTTAGCTTGCCACTAGGGCTGCACGATAAATATCGCACGATATATATATCCAGTCATAAAAAACGGAATTTACTGTATAACGCGGAATTTCATGGAATTTGAATTATTTTTGATGAATAAATAAAAAACAGGTCAGTATATATATATATATATATATATATGCATGCTGTATATATATATATATAGACTGTCTGTGAATATTAAACTGCAAAACGACTTATTTAAATACAAATGTTCTGCATGTTCATTTGATTACCAGAAAATACACAACACAGAGTTTGTGAAAAAAAATATTATTAATTATTATTATTTATTCATTTTAGATGTTTACATTTGGAAAAGCTGTGCTCTTTTGGTTGGAGGGGTAGGGGTAGGGGAAGGGCCAGACAGCCCTTCAAACGAAGATTTTTCAGGACCACACTTCAAACGAAGGGGTATGAATTATCTCAGCGTAAGCCGGCTACAGCGGCAACATGGCTGCCCGAGCGAACAAAAAGAACCATAAATGTGAGCATTTTTGGCATTAATAAAGGTTTTAATGAAAATTAATCATTTGTTTTATGTTACATTCAATCATGAGTTCATATTTACGGTCATATTATTCAAAGAAATGTTTGCAAAAAATCGCTAAAATTTGCTAACATCATTACTGACTGCACGATAGTGCCACAACATATTTTCATGTCTGATCAGGACGATAACCACCATAGACATTGAGGGGGGGCTAGTCCCCCAATAATTAGAAATCTCTAAACCTTTTTCTCAAATATTGCCAATTCGAGAGAGAAAGAGAGCGAGAGAGAGAGATATGAAAGTTGTGTGTATGCGCATCTGTGCGTCTCTCTTTAAAATGAGTGAGTTTAATTCAAAAACAGCGATTTTATCCTCCGGTTGCTGGAAAATATAATGTAGCGATTCTATATTTAAACTGTTGTTAATAAAAGTTGTGGGGCAGCATTGACAAGTTTCTTTTCTCCTGGATGTGTGAGCTGCGCGTTCTCTGATATGTGTATGTGTGTGTGTGTGTGTGTGCGTGTCAGTAATATAGAATGGTAATTAAAGGCTCTAATGCACACCAGCACAGCAGTATAGGTGTGTGTATTGTAGGAGCTAGACGACGTATGATGACGTGTGACGGCATATTAGTGGTGTCCCAATTCTTAGGGGAATATTTTCACCCCTACCCCTTGACACTCTGTTTCAAGGGACAATGGAAAGGGGTAGGCGGGGGGATAGGGGAAGGGGTATAAAATATAATTGGGATTGGGCCTAAATCTTGCTTACTTATTTGCCATCATAGGAATAATTACATTTTAAAACTTTTTTTTTGTTTATAATTTCACAATATTACAGTTTTTACTGTATTTTTGATCAAATAAATCCAGCCTTGGTGAGAATAAGTGACTTCTTTCCAAAAAAAAAAAAAATATATATATATATATATATATATAAATCATTTGTCTGACCTTTTGAATGCTAGTGTTTGTATTATCAACCAAAATTTGGGAATATTGTGTTATACATTTTTGCTCATATTGCTCACCCCTAGACTATCCCTATCTCAGGATAATATCCCATTTATTCCACAATTCAATAAATATTGACATTTCCATCTGTTTCTCGTACAGTGCTATTGTATGACTTCAGAGGACCTGGAAAAATAACATGGACGTTAAATGGGCATTTTAAAACAATTTTATAGCACTTTTTGAGTCTCAATAGAATGAATTACAGTTCATTTTATGGAAAAGAGCAGTCTGAACACTTTCCTCCTTTAGCCTACAATACACCTCCAGTTATGACCACCAGTGACATTCATCCATGACTCACTAGCCAACTCGATGAAAAAAAACCTAAAATGGAAAACATGTCTTTCTGCTTCTCCTGGATATTAGCAGAATTCATGTTTGGTGGAAACAGATATTTTTGTCACAACTGCCATATTCAGACCACATGCGACTCGACCATGCTTGCAGCACTTGGGTATCAGATGTTTTTCAGTGACTTTATACCAAAGTAACAGTACTTTTGACATCCTCACTAATGACATGATGACCATCCAAACCTGATTGGCTTGTAAAAACCTCTCCTCACTAACAGGAGTCCAGAGCAAAGAGGCCTACAAAGACCCAATTTAGCAAATAGGGTAGGCTTGATTTTGACAGCAAAGTGCACAACAACCTCTTTACTGTGGGTCTCCTTTAATTACAGTCATCAGTGTGTCAATCATAATGACAGCCGTGTGGTCATGCCTGAGCTACAAGGTATGTTCAGATTCACAAGATCGACAAGGGTGAAGTCTTCAGTTTAAACTGATTGATTGGTCATGCCTGCTGGGTTGTTTTGTGTCTTCTTTATTGTCATGTGAGGCTCAGCTGTTAATGGGTTTTAATTCATCTGTCAGTTTTTAATACACTTTTTTCCCACTAATAATGTTAGTCAAGGGAGATTGAACCAAATACAGACAGAATTGTGCTTTTTTCATTACTTGCTTTCACCTTCTCTCTAACTTTTACATTTAAATGGGTTGTTTTTGCTACTGTACCTTTAAGATGTTTATAGAGTATGTAAATAGCCCCTGTTATGATTGGCTAACCTCAAAATACGGGTATAGTTCTTGTTTCCAAGTCCACTAAACGGTCTGCAGGTGTGTGTGTGTGTGTGTGTGTGAACGACATACACTCCATAGGAAGAGCAGATGTCGCTAGAAGCTGCCACTGGTGTCAAGCATAATAACTGCTCTGAAGGAGCGTTTAAAAGCAAGAGGGGTCAAACTACTGCCCTAATGGAGACAAAAATTCACTTGACTTGCCCGCTGTCACCCACTTGAAGAAACCCAAGCAGCGGTTGAAAAATGAAAGCAGAAGAAATGTCCCATCTCCGTTGTTATCACGGCACAAGATCTCAGATCATCGCTCATTTCATGTGTCTCTAACGCAGAGGACGTGATCTGGAATCGGCTTGAACTCGTCCCGTGGCACTGAGGGATTGTGTTTGTGTGTTTCGGTTAAAGAAAAGCCAGCAGAAGATCTGTCTCTCCTCGGTAAGAGGGTAAATATAAGAATGGACAGCACAGATTTATTTTCTGGCCCCCGTGGGGCTCATTTCCAGCGTTGTGTTTCC